TTAGAGGATTTCATTTCAAAGCATGAGGATAAGGATTTCAAAGATTGAAAATTTTTTTTCCTTCTCTTTATCTCTTTAGATTTTATTTATGATTTGGATAAAGATTTTTATTTTGAGATTTATATATATATATATATATATATATATATTTATTATTTATAATAATAATAATAATAAGGAACTAAACCCATAATTAAGGTCTTAGTGGATCTTGTATCTGTATTATAAATTTTCAAAATTTTAATGTTATTGTGTACTTTTTTTTTAGTTTAATAGTCATATATTGATAGTATAAAATACTTTTACACTTTCACCTAATCAGAAATTAATGTTGGTATGATTTTTTAGTTATTTAATATAAAAGTGAAAAAAATTATGTTAATTTATAATTTGCACCGTAAATGAATAATCTATTTTCTCTTCTTTTTATAAAAAGCTTGCCTTATCGTGTTTAATTTATAATTTCTTAGGAGATTGATTAATCTTTAATGTATATGCATTGATTGACATATTAGATGTTAACCAATGCAAGGATGAATGACTAGTTTGCGTAATTATTTGATGATCAAGAATTAAAATGAACTAATCACAAGTGAAACCTATGTCCTAGCTAGGGTCAATCATAACTGAGTTCTTGTATTCTGTAGTGTGCGTTTTATTTATTTTCTAGTTAACTTCTTTCTAGATTTTTTTTTAATTTATTTCTTAGATCTATTTTTATCCTAGTCTTAATTTCGTGGTCCAAATACTCTTGAAAATTAGTAATTTGTTAATTTGTCTACGGAAAAATATGAACTCAATCCCTAAATTACTTGTATGATGGGATAATTTGCCCTTAGCGCATTTGCATGCGCTTGAATTACTAACTCGATTTTTTTACTATTTTTTTTAAATTTTTTTCCAGCTATACCCTTTTCATTCTTAACTTTAATTGTATAGCCAAATCCATCTTTTCCATCTCTTCACCAATTTTACTTTTTCTTATAATTTTACTTTTTCATATGTTTATTAGTAGTTAAACTCACCCGTGTTAGGGATTGATGTAATTACACAATTCATATATACTATTTTTAATTGTTTATTAAGGTTTTTATTTAGTTAATTATTTTCTCTTTCTACTCTTAATGTTTTCTGTGACTTAATTACCCATGATTAAATTTTTTGGGATTGAATGTTGTTGGAAAATACTTTTGAAATCATGAACCGGAAAAGAAACCTAATAAAGCTTATTGCTAGGAATAGTATAAGTTTTATTAGCCAAAATTAAAACTTATGATCTTAGTGCAAATTGCTTAATTAATTTTATTAAGGTTTTGAGATTTTAATTAAGAGAATTAAAATTTATTGCTTAAGAGATTAATGTTAAAATATATTTATTGATCGTTGGATTAACAACTATTAAAACTTAATTTACATTTTGATTGGTACATATAAAGAAGGTTAGTGAAATCAAAATTCCAACACTTTTATTCACTACAATAATTAACAATTTTATTCAATTAAAAAACCCTCAAAAATATTATTTATTTATTTATTTATTTACATTGAAGTCACTGATTTAATTTTCTCAACAATCAAATACTTTTTTTAAACCTAGAAAGAGTTAATTAAATTGAATTTGAATATATATTGCACAAGTATTTATAGGTATGATACTTGGACTTTTGTTGTTTATTAATTACCATAAATGGTACACTTGTCAAATGTCTAACACAACTTCTTTTTTTTATTTTATTATTATTATCCATATTTTATGTTTTTGTGAATTTTGTCACTCAACTTTTAAATTTTGCACATTTTATCATCCTATTAGTTGATCGCTAATGTGACACAATAATTACTTACACGACATGGTGATAAGCTAATGTGTATTGTTGATATGCCTTTTATTTTAAAAATTGAAAAGAAATATTACTTTTTTTTTGAAGGGAAGAAATATTACTTTTTAAAATTACTTTATTAAACATTTTTTATTTTTAGAAACAAAAAACTAATTTTCAAAAATAAGAGTCAAAGTTGAGTTTTTTTTTCTTTCTAACCTAACTTACAATTCAATTCATTCTTTATATATACTTTTAATTGTTTACCAATAAGGTCTAACATAATAAATAGATAGCTGAATTTCTTGAACATGTTGTTAGGGATTCAATTCTTAGTCATGTATATAGAAAATACTATGAGTCTATTTAAATAAATTAGAAATACTCTTGAGAGATTCTCTTCTGAAGATAAATAATTTTTTTATGATAGAGAAGCTTTAAAAAACGTTTATAAGCTCATATTCACACAAACTTTATATTGAAAGAGGCAAAATCCACTTTAGTAATGTTTATATCTCGAAATAAATTAGTCTATGATTATTCTCAGTGACTTAGTTTTTTTTTTTTTTTTAAATAAAAAAAGACTTTTAACATTTTTCTTCGGTGGTGAATCACTAACTCAAATGTATAAACCTAAAGCTTTCTTGAAGCATAAGTTTTCTATGAGACTAAATTTTAAATACTTAATTTACAAAATCCCAACTAACAATTACAAGACATACATGTAGATGAGAGGATATTATTAAAACAAAAAATCTGAAAGTATAAATACAACGTTAAATCTTGATAAATCATACACGATTGAAAGTATATCCTGACGCGCCCTTGAGTTGTGAGATTAAATTCCTTATTATCACCACAAGGAACAGCAAAGATTAGTCTTCTTCACAAATGATACGTTTATGACTTGAACCTTTGTCCTGTCTCCTTGTTTTTTCTTTAATTTTTGTGTCTTGTCCTGTGTCTTGTGCAACATCTATCAAGAGAAAGGATCCCATCTTAATGCAATATTCTTTTTAATTTGATAAAAAGAGAAGTGGTTTTTGTTTTTGCTACTAAAATTGTTGCTATAAATAGCCTCGTAGGCAGATCATGGTTATTCTCATAATTTGACAAACCCTTCCCACCTGCCATTCTCTCTTTTCAAACGTCACAAAGCCAATATTTGCACACTATTGGTAACCACCAATTACTACAAATAAGGAAAGGAAGAACTTGTGTGTGTACTTGACATGCCTTTGTATTGCAATTGTTCTATCTTGGGTGCAAACATCCCACGTACCTTAGGACTAGGAACAACAAGTGACAAGTACACACTCAGCCAATCAAAAGCATCAGGTTCAGCTTCTCTAAACCTTAAATCCTCCAATACCCCCCCAACCCACATTGCATTTGTGTCAAAATTTGACCAAAGTTTTTCTTCTCCAATTATGGAGGAGGACCGCAAAATGTTTGGTCTTGTCTCAGAACCGGAGGAGTATTGCAAAGAGTTAGATGTTGCTGTCAGAGCAGTTCAGATGGCATGCTTCCTCTGTCACAAACAGCTAGACAATTTCATTCCCAAGTCCACTAGCAACAACCATAATTCTCCTCTCAAAGTTGCAGGTGAATGCTCCACATCTCTCTGATTTGTTTAACCCTTTTGTTTTCATATATATAGAGTTGACGGGGAAAAATTTTACACTCAATTTAGCAAGATTAAATATGTTTTACATAGCATGATTTAAATAATACAAAAGTTTGTGGTGGTGTAAAAACATATTTATGGAAGTATATATAGGAATAAAAATGTAAAACACATCATATATTAGTGTCACACTGTCACATCATCCATCAGAAAATTGAAGTGTTGATATAAGCACTAAAATAAATCATTTTTAAGTGTAGAAAACTCAAAGATAAAGTTTGTGTTACTACGGGACAACATAAATAATTATAAAGTTTGTGTTACTACAAGGGACAACATAAATAATTAAACATTTACTTTAAAAATCTAATTAAAAAAATCAACTTTATAAGTTTGTCTTTTATATGTATAGAATTTTATATTATCTTCTTTCCTTTATAATAATTGTTTATGATTGTTTTATACAAATTAATAAATTTAATAAATTTATCTATTTTTCATGTAATAAATACATATTAGTTGTCATGTATAAATTAACTAAAAGTTAAAAGTTAAGTAAAATATAAAAATATAATTGATAATATAATAATTAATATTGTCTTAAAATTTAAAAATAATAAATAAATAAAAATAAAATTTTACTAAAAAATTGACAGATAAAAGAAATCGAGAGTATTATATATTTAAAATCAAATCTCTTGGGTGTAGACACATATAAGAAGAAAAAATTAAGTAATAAATATGATTGGTACTCTATTATAATAAAACGGGAGAAATAAAGAGCATGTTTGAGGAAGATTATAACATTCTATTTCAACTGTGTTTTTTTTTTTTTTTTTTTGGAAAATTTGTTTACAAAAAAACCTATGTTTAGAATAACAATCTAAATTTATAAATAATATTTTTTTTCTTGATATATAAGCTATTTTTATCAAGCTGAAAAATTGAAATTTATGATTATTACTCAATAATTTTTTTTCCTTTTAAGCTGATTTCTATATAGAAATTGATTTTATTGGTGTAACTAAATGAAATTAAACATCTTACAATTACTTTTCAGCAAATTTATTCAAACAAAATTTTATTTTAATTATAATCAGTTATATATATATAACCTATTATTGAAATAATTCATTTCCACAATTTTTCCTAACACACCTAATGAAAAAGTGGAAAGTGTGCAACTGGTGTCAAGGACGGAGCCAAGGGGGGACCTACGGGTGCCACGGCCCCCCCAACAATTTTAATTTTTTTTATATACATATATATTACTATATGGCACCCCCTATTTTTAATATAAACTCATATGTATAATTAAATGAATAACCCAAATTTATTTTTTTATTCAACTTTTGGACTTCTGGTACGGCCTGCTATGTGGTATCACTTTGGAATTTTTTTTTTTTTAAAAAAATGTAGCGCCTCATTTGATCATTCCAATTCTCAATTCTCAATTCTCAAGTAACACTGGCAATAGAAATAGGATTGGGTAGTGACTATCGGCCCCCCAGTATTGAAATCCTGGCTCCGTTCCTGACTGGTGTGATCACTATTTGATGCTGATGAGAACATCATTACTCTATGTATTTATAAACAAGTGGTGAACTTGTGGGGGAGAATCTGAGTTCGACTCGAACAATACACAGCCTCAAAACGAATATTAGTTTCATAATAAATTCAAAGGGAAAAAGTTTATGAAGATAACTAGAAGTTTCACTAGAGCCAAACACTTTAAGTATGGTGACTGTCAAAAATAAAATTAACAGATGATGAAAAATAACAATATTGAAAAGGAAAATATGTAGCATATTAAATAATTTAATATTTACTGATGTTTAAATACTTTAGAACATTTAATAATATTTATTTTTGATGAAATTTAATAATATTTATTCAATACATCTAATTACATGCACGTAAATACACAGTAGAAGACCCATATATATTACGAATTTGTTGGTCAGTAGATTTGGTCATTTGGCTTTAAACTAGAGAAGAGAAGTTGCTTTTGTAATTGATCACCTTCGAATTATGACACTGGCTTCTTGATTAGTGATTAGTACGGGACAAGAGAGGAAACATAACATTGTCTGATACACAAAGGACACAATTATCAAAATTAATACTGAGTCAATGAAAAATTATTGATGAGAAAGGTCTATCAAGTATGGAGGCTTCAAGATTTTCAAAAGCTCGTGACTCGATCTTAAAAGGGCAATAATGTGTCGGTAAAATTAAGCTGGCTTTCTACAAACTCTTTCAGTGTCTTTGTCCTGTTCCACAAACAAACTGATTTGACTGAATTCAATTATTTTCCAAGGTCTGCTAATTGGAAATATTATACTAAAGATTCATGAATATGTAACTTTTCTTTTCTTGTTGATTGCTCCCTTGCCCTCCAAGTGAAGAAGCATATATATATATATATATATATATTAAAAACATACCTATTTTTTATTTTGTTTACAAAAGAAGAAAAACAAGGGACAATTGCAAAGGGAGAGGATAAGATTGAAGAAATTGTTACTAGAAGGAAATCTTGAAAATATATTGGTCATGCAAGATCTTCATAATGAATTTAAATAATATACCTTATCCTATTTACTCTTTTTGCAAAGTATTTATGCTGACTTTTGTATCGAGCCATAATCAAATTAATGCCGTTCCCTTTCCATTATATTTCCTTATTAGTCTCTGGATTTTGTTAATAAAACTTTGTTTTAGAGCATGATTGATTAGTCTACTCATATCAGATTGAATTGTACTCTTCATTATGTAATTTACATAGGTTGGAGTATCAAAGCAATTGTCAGCTGGATATTGTTTGAGTGTTTAGGGGGTGAAAATGTCTCAATTGTTACTGAAGAGGATGTTCAGACACTATCCAATACTAATGCATCTGAACTGTTGGAAGCTGTGGTTAAAACCGTGAATGAATGCCTGGCTGAAGCACCTCGATTTGGAGTTGAAGAGCCAAAATCAGCTCTTGGAACTTCACAGGTTCTTCAAATCATTGGTCGCTGCAACTCAGTTGGAGGTCCTTCTGGAAGATTTTGGGCACTTAGTCCTCTTGATGGTATAATAGGGTCTTCATGTGGTGATCAATATGCTGTAGCTTTATCACTCATAGAGGATGGAGAAGTGGTGCTTGGAGTTCTTGGCTGTCCTAACTACCCTATGAGAAAGGACTGGTTTAGTTATCAGCACAGCTATCTAAGGATTATATCTAAGTTGACTTCACCGACCTCTGAAACTTGGAATGAAGGTTGTGTAATTTATGCTAAAAGGGGTAGTGGCAAGGCTTGGATCCAACCACTGCTCCATGCCAATAAGAAGTTTGTGTGGCCAAACCATGCAAAACAAGTTTCAGTCTCTTCCATTGACAACCCTGCATTGGCCACCTACTGTCAACCAATTGAGAAGGCCAATTCAAGCCACTCTTTTGCTGAAGGACTGGCTCACAGTGTTGGTCTCAGGTACATTTTTATTTCATCAAATTTAAATTTTCAATCAAGTAATGCTATGTGTACAACAACTTGTCTAAAATATTATTTTTGTGCCTATCTCTTTCTATCATTAATAAATATCTATCTCAATAATAAATAAAGTGATACAGAGATAAACACAAAAGCAATGTTATTAGAGTTGTACAATTTTTGTTGTACCTGTAACATTATTCATATTAGTCATCCTCTTTGTCTTTTGACTTTTGCCTTGAGTGGCTGTACTGTGTCTAGGCATTCAAACATAGCATTTATTCCCAAGCTGAAAACTGTTAAATATTGAAGGTCACCAAAGACAACATAAATTTTCTAGCATAGTTTAGAAGGTAACTATTGTTCATCATTTATATGCAGTAATCAGCCATTAAGGGTATGCAGCATGATGAAATATGCGGCAATAGCATGTGGGGATGCTGAGGTTTTCATGAAGTTTGCAAGGGCCGGTTACAAGGAGAAAATATGGGATCATGCTGCTGGTGCTATCATCATACAAGAGGCTGGAGGCATGGTAACAGATGCTAGGGGGCATCCTCTGGACTTCTCAAAAGGTTTATATTTAGAAAGGCTTGATCGTGGTATAGTTGCTTGTGCTGGAGCCTCATTACATGAGAAGATCATCGATGCTGTTGATGCTAGCTGGGTCTCTTCTTGTCTTTGAGACTGTATCTAATAATCTACTTGATCTACAGGTGTATAGTATATATACCGCAATTATGTGAATGTATAATCTTTTCTTGTCTGTTATGCGTAGTATCTTAAGAAACCCTGATTATAAACATCAGTTATTGTTATTGTTGATGTATTGGTGTCAGCTTTTTAAGCTGAAATTGTTTTTGTTTAAAATGATGTGGATAAAAGGTTATGGTTGTTTCTTTGTATTCTGAATGACATTTACTAAAACATGGATATTCTTGAAGAGAGCTTCATAGGCCTATAACTAATGTGAATATGTCAAATTGCTTAACTTCTTGTTAGCATCTAAAAATTATTGATGGTCAATCAGTTCACCAAGTACTGCATTATAGATTTGAAGAAACAAAAATTTGGTTAAGAATAGTGACAATTATCCAACTTGTGGATTATTACTACTTTTATCCTCTTCTCAGACTCACTGGAAGTTGCATATGAGACATAAGTGCTGCCTCTTAACGTAATATAAAAATAACATCCACCATTCGTTTTGAAGAAAATTGATAAGAAAAAAAGCTAAAAGAAATATTATTTGTAGAAGAGAGAAAACTTACATACTCACGAGAGAATTGAGAATAATGGAAGGATAAAATTTTATTGATCGCACATATGCACTATATTGCATGCAATTGATGTCATGTATTCATACTAGTCTTGTATCACATACAATCTATTAACCTTTCATAGATTCGAAATAATCACTCCCACCATCAGAGTTAGCCAACTAACAAATTTGTTGTACTAACCATTCACTCGACGGACTTAACCAAACGCACCGAGAGATAACACACTTCAAATTACTATGCAACACCATTTGGTAAAAAGGATGTCTCTAAAACATGAACATATGACATCTTCATTCCGATTAATTAAACCCTAAACTCTAAATTTGAAAAGTTGTTTAGAAAATGTTAGATATGAAATTTTTTTTACTTTTGAAAATCTAATATAAAAAATGTTAACTTTTCACATTTGATTTGTTATTTAAAAAATAACATTCCTAAAAAATATTATTTTTCAAAAATGATTTTTCATAGATTTTCCAAACTAACTTTCTCAAAGTAAACAACAAAATTTTAATGCAATAATTTTCAAGTATTATTTAAAAATATTTTCAAAAATATTTATAACCAACAAAACAAATTTTTTTAATTCCTAAAAATCATGGCTTCCAAAATTTATAATTCTCATGAATCATGATTTGTAAATATAAAAAAATTCCCAATTTACCAAATGCACACCCCCTTAAAGTTGAGCAGTGAATTTGTTTTACAAAATGTTTGGTTATTTAGAACTTAAAAAAAAAAAAATCAATGCAAAAATTATGATTAATAATTTAGGGGAAAATAGTATTTCTAATTAAAAAAAAATCAAGTACATGTCCCTGTAAGTTGTCACCAATATTAAAGTTTGATATTCATGGACAAAGCCTAGGATTGTTCCTTATCAGCATTAGGACTATTATAGCGAGAGCTAAATGATGGATTAGTCTCTCTTCCCTCGTTCCATCTCCAACTTTCTGTGATTGCCTCACCCTCTTCCAAGATAGCTAGATTAGCTAGTGTGTCAATTATTTAGTTTGCTGGTGAATTAGTTAAGCATTGTGAGAATTAGAGAAATAAGATATGTCTACAAATAACTAGTCCAAGCTCTACAAACCACATTAATAAGTAGCATGTTATACAAGAGAAAAAGAAATAAATAAATAACAGCTGTAAACAAAAATCATGCTGAGAAGAATACTTTTGTTGACAATTTCTGTGGCTTACAATATACAACATTGATCGACAAGACGATTAATCATATCGCCGCCCTCATGGCTCCCCTAGCAGCCTCCCGTTTCATCTCAGCAGCCTTACCACTGCCACGGAAGTACATGTATACTTGCTGTATGGCAACCCAAGAAACAATGAGTAAGCAAATCATGACATTCAAAATGCTTTAGATGATTGGAAACTTCAACAAACGTAATCAAACCTGAATAACCCAGATGCTGATCAACGTTTCAATGCAGAATAATCCAAATCCAATGAAGTAGAAAATCTACAAGACAACCGGAGAAAATCGTAACAAAAGATCAATCATTTGTAGCATCTGCAAAGGGATGATGCATTGACAATTAAATAGTATTATGTGGGAAAATAATTCATGACAGGCACTCTTACCCCAATCAAAGCATGGTCCCCCAGCACATCTATGGCAGACAGAATGCCCCTGTATCAATGAATACAGTGTCAAGTCAACCACTATGTTAAAAGAACGAGAATAACTTCAGCCTCTTGAAGACATGAAACATGATCCCCTCCTCTCTTATTTATAGGAAATATGCCCCAATTATTCTCAATCTCAACCCGACCAACATATCAATGACACTTTCACTAAATAGATTTCAAACAATAAACTTCTTATAAAAAGAACCAGAAGTAGTAATATATATCTAACAGATTTCAAATCAGGTAATTCAAGAGGAGGGTGATGATGGACATATCCTAAAGTCCATTCTTTTTTAATAGATACGTCATTTACTTCTATTTGAGAAGGGAAAGAAAAAAAGAAACCTATCTTATACAAGGAAAATGAATTTGAATTCTTAGTTTCCTTGTGACAAAAATAAAGCAATATGAGCAGTGTTGGCATGTTAAATTGAGAACATATATGAAGTTGACGTACGTCAGGGATTTTCCCTTGAAAACTATAGGAGGAGCAACCGCGGCTAAGATGCAGAATCCTATGTGAATCTGTCAGCAAAATAAGAAACGAAGATGATTAGATTTCTTCCTCCTTTTGAAGCATAGCTTATGCACATTATGAAGTATAATCCATTTACCAGATACAACAAGAAAAACCATCCAAATTTCAAAGCACTTTCACTCCTGCAAAAAAGAGCAGCATATTCAAGATCAACAGTATGGCCAAATAAAAAAGATGAAAATATGCATGCATGTTTGACTATTGCTCTCACGAATGCTTCAAAGCATAAAGCAAAGCTTTCTGCAGGGACTGGCCATCTCATCAAAACATGCAACACCAACAATAGGGTCACACTTGGATGAATAACTAATTAATTGATTTTAAATTAAAGAAGGAAAAAATAAATAGAAAGAAAAAAGGTTAAAGTACATTAAACTCATAGTTGGAAAGCCTCCTCAATTGCAGTCACCCCTAACATGCCTTAATGGCAGCCCATTAGAGTTGCTTGTCCATGTCTCCAAAAGGTCTAGCTATGGAGGAACTGACTAAACAAGCTGAGTGAAGCATCATAGAGTGCAACCGCTAAGATGTCGACTCTTAGGGAATAAAGATTTCACATCAATTAGAGATATGAACAATGTAATCTTTATAAAGATTGGATAGTCCTCACCTTACAAGTCTATTTTGTAAGGCTAAGTTAAGCCCTAAACCTAAATTCTAACATGATAAGACTCATAAGGCCCCAAGGTTGAATCATTAAAACCCAAACATGCCTCAGTTCTCCAAAACAATTTTTAGTCTTACTATACAAGTTATAAATAAATGCTCACTAATTGCAGTTGGATAATACATTTAAAAAAAAATAAAACAACTAAGTGTATGTAAGCATTGAAAAATTTACCTAAAAGCACGATATAATGGGCGGTACCACAGAACATATGCTCCAGGAACTCCTGCTATGAAGTAGATTATGGAAAGAAACCATATTTTTACACCTACAACAAAGTCAAGTTCCATATCCATGGAGTTTGAAAACATCAGATTTGTAATTTGAGCTGTATAATAACCTATGAAAATATTCTATGTATCTAAACTCACCTTCACCCTTAATCCAAGCTGAAGTAACAGCTATAACATTCCATAAAAGGCACAACACTAATCCTGCAAAATAGAACTATTTATCAATGCAGTGAACAACATCTCAAGCTTGCAATGATTTTGGGTATAAAATTACATGACTTACAAGATAACTATTGATAGATGCATGTATTGTGACCATAATTCAAAACATGTGATCATGCTAAGAACAAATAAATAGAGAATGCATTTATCAGGCCATTATCTTACTCAACAAACAGATTAGTTCCAAGCATACAGGTTGAAGGTTCCAATTTTCAAATCAATCATTCAGACAAAACTAGATATTCAGAGCATCTCCCCTCTCTTCAAGGCTTCTTTTTTTATATGTTTCGTTTGAAGAGAAAAAAAATTGGGAGTAGAAAAGAAGAAAAGGCTCCCAATTGTTACTTTCCTGGAGAAAGTGTGAAGTTTTTGTCATTGATGCATGATGCCAATTAAATGATAATTAAGTAAAAAATCTTTCTTTTAAATTAACTTATACATAGCATAAATCAAAAGGCACAAAGGTTATAATATCAATCATCTGCAGAGAATGCACAAAGGATCCCTGAAAAAGAATTGACCTAAGAAGAAATTGAAAAATAAAAAGAAATGATAATAAATGTGCAGGAAAATAGCATCAAGAACTGCTGGCTAAAAAACAATGCCATAATAGCAACCAAGATCCAAGGCTGCCCCCCCCCCCCCCCCAAAAAAAAAACAATAAATAAATAAAAGGATAACATACCTAACAGTGTAGTAAATGCAACATATTGCAATTTTTGAAGATGAATTGGAATTTCATTAGCAATGTCATGATGGATAATTGGGAAAAACGGTGGCCAATTCTTCTCCTCAAGAACAATTCCAGCTGCAAAACAAAAATGTAAATACCTACTAAAAGAATTAAGCAGAACTAAAATTAGTGCATATAATTTAAAGACATCTATAGAAATCTGCAGCATCACCAATCTTCCATTAATCAATTGAATGCCAACACAAACATAAACACCCCTCCCCCCACAATAATTTGGGGAAAAAAACTAGCAACAGAAACAAGTGGTTTTTAAAAGCAATTAAGGAAGCAAACTTCAAATACAGAACCAGGAAATGTAAATCACCTCGTGCAGCAGCTTCTTCTTTCCGTCTCACTTCCTGAATTTGACAAATAAAAAAAATTAAAATATATGTGAATTTCCAGGCATTTGTAACAGAAAGGTCAGTAGACAAACCTTTATGTATATAAAGTTAATGAACAAATATCAGTGTGAAAACTCTAAATATTGAATAGAAGATGGCATGAATTGATGAGGGGGCTTATTTAAGATCCATATTTCCATTGGCCAACCTATTTTCTCATCATAACAATTTCAGATGCCCTCATCATATTCATATTCAAACTTATTTTCCCATTCATAAAAAATTAAAAAAAAATCCAAACATCAGGTAATATAATCAATCAGATTCAGTTCAAATTCTTGATGTGTGTAGAGAGTGTAGACACATAAATATATGGGAAATGATTCACTTAAGGAATAAGTGTTGGACACCTAGGTTTCCATCACCTACTCCACTCAATAATAACAGCGAGAGCGCTTTTAGGGATCATTCTTCAATACGGGTGTTTGTAGAGAACTTTTTAACTTCTCATCTAATTTAATTTTTTACTTACCCAATTCTTTTAACCTGAAATTATCTTCCCCAAGAGTATTGTTAAGGGTTAGTTTTCTACTAAAGCATTTTCAGAGATTCTTTTAACTTTTTATATAATTCAATTCTTTTTATAATATTTATTTATGAATTAAATTTTAATATTTTGTATAAAAATTATCAATAATCCAAAATAATCTTGTATTGCAATTTAAATTATTTATCATAAATCTAAAATATAATTTATATGTTTCAAAATATATATTTATAAAAAAACAAATATAATTTATATATATATATATAAATATAATATTTATTTGTATATATAATTTATTATAAAAAATTAATATATAATAAACATTTAGCCTGTGAAATGCACAGGCTAAAATATTAGTTTTTTTTTCATAGAATACAAATTCAACAAATCAAACAACAATCCTAAAATATCAACTTTATTTAGGATTGATCTCAACCAACAAAGAGACAACAAAAAATCCCATGGTATACCTGTTCTCTTCTTCTCAATTCAGTTTCCTTGGATTGAAGTTCCTTCTCCTTCTTTTTCAAATCCTAATGTTGTAATAGATCATAATTAGCAAAACCACAATCAATACTTGCAACAACACATTATAAATGGGAAAAGCAGTGAGAATTTCAACAACCTCAATTTTACACATACCGTTGATGTATCAAGAGGTATATCAACTGTCGCACCAAAGCCATAATTATAATCAACAGGCTCGGGTTTAAGAGGTGAAAGCCTTGAATTTGTGGCAGCAGGAACACTTCCAGGATTCTAACATTTTAAAAGCATTATGACACATTAAGTAAATTGCAACAGATTTGTAGCCTCCTATGAGCATCCAATATATAATGTACTTAATAAATAAAATAAAATAAAGCTGGTCATGACATGAACCTTGACCCAAGAGTACAGCTAGAATAAGGATGGTGCCATGACAAGGTAGTGAAAACTGAAAACTGAAAATTTCCCTTTATTTAAATGGATAAGATAATTCCATGATGTATTATCACAAGGAATGTGGGAGGAGACACCAGCAGGCAGGTGCTCTGACCCCCCAACCCCCAGCTCACGTCTTCCTTTTCCTCAATAATTTTACTTTCCAAATGTTTTACTGGTATCCGCAACATCTAAATTTTCTTCTCTCATCTATCACTATCAGTTCATTCCTTGTTAAGAAAAATGTCAATATCACAATCATGCACCTAATAAACACCACACAACATCATTATTACACTTTTAGTTATTTTGTTATCCACAGAGACCAGAGACCTTAGGTATCTTGTGGGCTTATAATACTTCTTAAAATCTTAGCAAACCTAATATGTGTAAATTAAAAAATAAAAAAGATATATTTGACATTACCTCTTCATTTTGCAATGTCAATCATTAAAAGTAAACTTAAATATGTTTTTAATCCCTCATATTTTGTATAAAAATTATCAATAATCCAAAATAATCTTGTATTGCAATTTAAATTATTTATCATAAATCTAAAATATAATTTATATGTTTCAAAATATATATTTATAAAAAAACAAATATAATTTATATATATATATATAAATATAATATTTATTTGTATATATAATTTATTATAAAAAATTAATATATAATAAACATTTAGCCTGTGAAATGCACAGGCTAAAATATTAGTTTTTTTTTCATAGAATACAAATTCAACAAATCAAACAACAATCCTAAAATATCAACTTTATTTAGGATTGATCTCAACCAACAAAGAGACAACAAAAAATCCCATGGTATACCTGTTCTCTTCTTCTCAATTCAGTTTCCTTGGATTGAAGTTCCTTCTCCTTCTTTTTCAAATCCTAATGTTGTAATAGATCATAATTAGCAAAACCACAATCAATACTTGCAACAACACATTATAAATGGGAAAAGCAGTGAGAATTTCAACAACCTCAATTTTACACATACCGTTGATGTATCAAGAGGTATATCAACTGTCGCACCAAAGCCATAATTATAATCAACAGGCTCGGGTTTAAGAGGTGAAAGCCTTGAATTTGTGGCAGCAGGAACACTTCCAGGATTCTAACATTTTAAAAGCATTATGACACATTAAGTAAATTGCAACAGATTTGTAGCCTCCTATGAGCATCCAATATATAATGTACTTAATAAATAAAATAAAATAAAGCTGGTCATGACATGAACCTTGACCCAAGAGTACAGCTAGAATAAGGATGGTGCCATGACAAGGTAGTGAAAACTGAAAACTGAAAATTTCCCTTTATTTAAATGGATAAGATAATTCCATGATGTATTATCACAAGGAATGTGGGAGGAGACACCAGCAGGCAGGTGCTCTGACCCCCCAACCCCCAGCTCACGTCTTCCTTTTCCTCAATAATTTTACTTTCCAAATGTTTTACTGGTATCCGCAACATCTAAATTTTCTTCTCTCATCTATCACTATCAGTTCATTCCTTGTTAAGAAAAATGTCAATATCACAATCATGCACCTAATAAACACCACACAACATCATTATTACACTTTTAGTTATTTTGTTATCCACAGAGACCAGAGACCTTAGGTATCTTGTGGGCTTATAATACTTCTTAAAATCTTAGCAAACCTAATATGTGTAAATTAAAAAATAAAAAAGATATATTTGACATTACCTCTTCATTTTGCAATGTCAATCATTAAAAGTAAACTTAAATATGTTTTTAATCCCTCAAATAGTACGAGGTAAATATTTTTTTGGTCCCTCAAATTTATAATTAATCTCTAGTCCCCATAATTTGATGAGAGAAAAAAAAAAAAAAAACTTATTCTAGTCCTTGTGCCCAAATTCCATTAGTGAATTTGCCGCATAAAACTCACTGTTGAATCTACCACACAAAATCCACCTACTAAGACCCTTTTAAGTAAAAACATCATACTAAACTCAATGCTTCGCAATTAACTCAATATGCCGCTGTTAGTGATGCTGCAGGTAATCTAGAGGGACTAAAACAAGTTTTTTGGAAATTTTAGGGACTAAAAATTTAATTTTAAATTTGGGAGACTAAGAACAAACTTACCCCAAATTTCAGGAACTTAAAACATATTTAAACCTTAAAATTATATATGATTTTAAAATACTGAATACAAATTTAGGATACCCTTATATATATATATATATATATATATATATATATAGAAAGAGAAGGAATCTATTTACTCCAAGAGTAACTCTTGGTATACTTACTCCACTTGAATAACTCATGTTCTACATATAATCAACAATTTAACTGTTGAATTAAAAGTTCTTAATACATAAATTAAGTCTGCAAATTTTTAAAAAAATTTAAAAACTATTTGATATTTCATTTAATTAATTCAAATTGATGGATAATCATAAAAACATTATATGTGTTGATTTGAATTTATATAACAAAGTATTATATAGTTTTCAATTTTTTAATTTGCAAAATTTTAAAAAATTTGACACACACACACACACAAAAAGTAATTTAAGTTTGATTGGCCTGATGCCTTTCTCCTTACAGCTGGATCCTGTTAGTTTATGCCAGATTTGAAGAAAACATATAACTATTCCAGCAGAGAATAATTATCCCCAATTCTCAAACAGCTGAATTCTAAAATCCTCAACTACAAACTCTAGTTTCCTAATTGTAAATACATCATAATTTAATATAATTATTATAATTGTTATCTCCTCGTAGAGCATTAGCGTAATACCAATAAGAATATACAACTGTAACGTACATCCATATAAGGCACCCAAATATATATTTTGATGTGTATGAACAAATTATAAGTCACTATCATTTTTTTTTATTTCTTAATTTTTGTTGCAAGAGTCTCTCATTGATATTCAAGGGTTTTCAATCAGATGTCCAATTAGGTAATCCTTTATATGCTCTACTTTTAAAAACTTTTACCCTTCCCTGTCTTGCGCTTGTAAAATTATAGTTTTGGTCTCTTAGTTAGACACAAGGTTCAATTTTGGTCCCCCTAATTTTAATGGAAATAATGTTGCCCCGATAGTTTCCAAATTGATGCAATTATATCCCCAAGCCAGATTGATGTTGCCATGTTGACAAGGCGTTCATTTTTCTTAATGTGGCATTGGGCAGTAAACATTGTTAAGAGTTTAAATAAGAGGGACCAAAATATAAATTTAGTAAAATATAACAAGAAAACCAATAATTGTAATTTAGCCTCCCCATTCTTCAACCACTAAACAGCTAAATGTGGGGTTTTGATTCTTCAACCACAAGTCACTACTCAGATTTTAATGGAATAAATTGCATTTATGGATTCTTTAGGGTGTTCGACCAATGTTAGCTTTAGGGAAATATATTGTTATTATGATTATGCATTTTAGTTTCTGTTTTTCATAACTGTATAATGTTCCACCATTGAGGATATTTTATGCTTCTGATTTGTTAAATATTCCTTTATTTCTAATCAAATTCTTCTTTTCAGCGTTGATATGCTTAGCAAACCAAAATCTAATTAATACAATATAATACACACACACACACACAATAACATTTGGAACAACTTTATATAACCTGTATATTTTCCGATTATAGTTACATAAACACACCACTATTTATCCTCAATCAAGGGGAAATCATCTCAGTGTCTCTTTCAAATAAATCATTATCAGGAACTCAAGTCTGTAGTTAATATTTAATCAATCCTATGTGATCAGGAGTTTTACAGTTTTTCTTTAAATGAAGAATGGATACGAAAACTTCTAGAATCCCATCTTCCCCAATGGACCAATTACTTCTTGTTAACTCACCAAAAGTTATTAGACACTCTGAAGTTAAGAAACACGGTATCAACATCTGTATCTGCATGTGCATCTGCAAGCAAATCTCAAGGACACGTGAAAGATGCGTCCAGAAAGTTTGAGCTTAATCCTAAAGGTAATTTCTTAAGGCCAAAACATCATCAAAAAACACCAAACTCTACATGAAGAAGCAGATAGAACAAAACCTATAACTATCTTAAAACAGATACATATACAAACATCCTCCAAAACCGGTTTCCTCAACCACTACTTCAATTACATATCAAACAAGTGAACCAAAATCAACAACAATTCAAAAACAAAATTTTGACCAAAATAGAATGCTGAAACATCCCCAGAACAGGATCAAATCAAGTTCAACACAATACTGCATACCCAGTTCATAAAATCTAAACTTTGGCAAAAAGCAGAAGTGGTGGACACAGAAAGAAGGACTTACAGAGAAGGGGTTAACTTCTTCCTCGTCGAAGGGGTTACTGTCATAGCGACCAGCCATGGGAACTGGAATGCAGAGATCTGGGACTCTGCTGCACAGAATAAAGTCAAATGGGTAATAAAAAAAGAAAAAGAAAGGATTTTGGAGTGATGAGATTTGAAAGTATGAAACTTGTTACAGAATTAGAAGGTGAGGAAGGTAAAGTAAGGGTTGCAAAGAAAGGAGAAAAATTGCAGCTACAGATACAAAGGAATTGTCTTTGGTCAGCTTAATACAGAAGAAAATAAAGAGACAGCTCTGCTTTCATCTTTGCTTTCCCACATACTATATTGGTTCAATACATGTCCCTAAATTTTTTAATTAAATTTTTTAACTAAAAATTGTAATTATATTAGATGATAATATAGTTTTTTATATTATTAATATATGATAATATGGTTTTTATATTATTAATATATGAATTATTTATTCTATAATAATCATGATAAAATCATACTTGGAATGATTTTTTATTGATTGAGAATATAAATAAATAAATAAATACAGCCACAATAAATTCATAGGAGTTTTTTTTTTTTTAGTTTTTACGATAAAAGTCGTTTTAAATGTGCAATATGTAACAGCAAGTAAGTTATTAACATTATGATTTTTTTAATTATTTTTATGTATCAATATTCAATAGTAAATTAAAAAATTAATTGGATGGATTAGTGGTTGGCGTTGCGGTTCATATATATTTGGCAGATAGTGTCATCCTAACTACTATAGAAGTGCATTTGAGGACAAAGGCATATTCAAATGTTCTTTTGAAATAATTGTATCTCACCCTTACCCATGATGAAAAAAGAAAACATAATAATTTTTTTTGTCCGAATATAATTTGTGTATTTGTTGTTAGAACAAGCCAAAAACATTTCAAATTGTGTTTTTGCTGTTAGAAACAAGCCAAAAATTCAAATTTTGATTCCCTGAGATCCCCCAGAACTTTAATTCAAAATCATGTCATTTTCTAAGTGGGATGGTAAATGTTGTTTGTTGCGACTTGCAACCTCATAAACACACAAGTGCTTCTTTGGGGGAAAATGGCCTTCTTTTCCGTACTTAAGTTTTATACAAGATATAATTCATTACAATGAATTCCAATAACATTTAAGAATAAAACGTGCACATCATATATATATATATATATATATATATATATATATATATATGAGGAGGAATCTGTTTACTCTAAGAGTAAGCTTACCTAAACTTATTCTATTTAATAACTCATGTTCAATGATCCAACCGTTAAATTTAAAGTTTTTAATACATAGATCAAGTCTGTAAATTTTTAGAAAATTTAAAAATTATTTGATAGTTCATTACATTAATTCAAGTTGACAGATAATCATAAAATTATTTTATACATTAATTTGAATTAATGAACGAAATATCAAATGATTTTTAAATTATTTTAAAAATTTACAAATTTAATCTATGCATTAAAAACTTTAAATCCAGTGGTTGGATAGTTGAAATTTGATATAGAACATGAGTTATTGAACGGAATAAATTTAGGTAAATTTACTCTTGTAAACGGATCCTTCCTTTATATATATATAGATAAAGAAACAAATAACTTTACATAGTTTCTCACATTTTAAACTGTTTTTATTCAAAAAAAAGTTGGTTTTGAAAAAAAATATATGCATGTTTAGGAAACTAAATTAAATTTATAAACAGTATTTTCTTTGAAAAATAAATTGTTTTCAAGAATCCAAAAATTTGAAACTTATGATTAGTTTGTAACAATTTTTTTTCTTCTAAAACTCATTTACTATATAAAAATTGATTTTTTTTTGTTATTTTTAAACGAAATTAATCATCTCAAAATTACATTTCAGTCAACTTATCTAAAAAAAATTATTTTAATTATAATCAATTATACATACGATCAATTATTAAAATAATATAATTTTTACAATTTTCTTAATCACACCCCGAATTAATCATCAATTTGTTACTGTATTTTTTATGAAAAGCTGTAGATGATTTATTTTCAAAGAACAATGATTTTTTCTTTTGACAGATTAAAGAACAATGATAGTAGTAGACTAGTAGTGCAACTTGAATAGTTTATATCACCCTTTCACCCTGTGGTTTTTTTTTTCACAAGAGGAAGTATGGACTCCTAGTAGAGTTGTTACTATTGTAGAGATTTTTATGCTTAAAGTTACTTATATTGAGAAGAGTAAAAATAAATAATGTATATAAATGGAACCTATTAAAAGCAATCAAGTGAATTACTACTATGGTGGATGTTCTAAGAAGTCATTTTTAGTTATGAAACTTAAAAATAGTGAAAAATAAGATGAAGTTTTTTTTTTATTTGATTATTTTTTTGTTTGATAATTTCATAAAATTAGCTCTTATAAAGATAAAGTAGTACATTCATTTACACTTCATGTTCAAGGTTAATATATTAATACCTCTCAATGATTCTTTAATTACATTAAGAGAACAATTGTTGAGAAATCTAATACAAATTCAATATCAAAAAGTTTGTGATAAAAGGAGTGAGATGTTCAACTTCTTATCACTTATAATTTAATATTTATTTTAAAGATTGTAAAAATATACTCACTTTTAATCCCCACCTGAAATGTATTCTTTTAGATATGCCATGCTAATATATTGATCACTTATAATTTAATATTTATTTTAAGTTCCTGTTTCTAAACAAGGCAAGGGATGTACATAAACAGAAAATTTATAGCTCATTGTGGCCTTGAAAAGTCATTGCCTTTTGAAAGATTAGAGGAGACATGTTTACTCAATTCATCACTAACCTTCACTCACCAGCTCACTTAGGTATCATTTATGCCCTTTTGTATTCTGTTATAACAACGATATTTTTAATTTAAAGTGAAAATTATAAACAACTTATATCCTGGAAAAAACAATTTTTTTAAAAATTAAATTAAATTAAGTTATTCAAAATTTATGAAAACAAAAAGTCTTTCCATGTAAAGAAAACATAAATAATTAAAATATATAAATAAATGTTAAAAATATTGAGATTATGTATCACAAAAACAAATAATAAAAGTTATTTTCCCGTTCAAGAATGAAATTTTAAGTTTATAATGTGAAAGGCATTTATTATACTTAAAATTTGTAATTTAAGAAAATAGTCACTCAAGCTCATCAGTCATCCCTAATCCCCAACTCGAAACAAAGATACAATATCTTCCACATTGAACAAGACATTAAATTTTTCTAATTTTGTTTAAAATATTTTTATCCTTTCACATCCTTGCAGAAACAAATATTGTTTGCAATAAAAATAAAATAAAATGTATACCTTCCTTTATATGGAACATATACTTTTCTATTCTATTCTAATATATATATAT